GACAAGGTTTCTTTATTCTCCTTTTCCCAAAATATATCAGGGACAACTGCCCATCTTCATTGCTATGACTGATGCCCTGATCCAGGCCGTATCATTTTATCTTTAACATTAATTGAGGAGTAATTCTTTGTTGTGGGGGTGGTTGTTCTATATACTTCAGGATGTTAGCAACATTCCCGCCCTTGCTACACACACCAGTGGCCAGTAGTGTGCCCTCCCTAACCACTTGTGACAACCAAAAAATATCTCCAGACATTGTCAAATATCCCACATGAGCAAAATCATCCAGTGTTGAGAACCACTACTTTAACATCCGAAGAAATCCATTAAATGTTCATTCTTCAAAACGTTTCAATCCTTTTTCCAATTATTCCAGAACCCCTTATGACAGATTCAATCATGAGCATGCAGTGTTTATTTTGCCTATTTCATTTGCCCAACTCAAAGTGCCTTTCCTCTCACACTCTTGCAGTTTGTCATTTCATAGATAGAGTCATTCACAGCACGAAGACTCCTATGGGTAATTTCACACCTTCATACGATCACTGCATTTTGTTGACACTTTTTTCTTCTCAGCATTCTTTATGGTCTTTCACTTCCAATGGCCTAAGTGCTGAAGTTCTTCAGTGTTGTCTCTGCAGTCCTCATGTTTACTTGGTCTATATTCTCTAGGATGAGGTCTTTTACTCTTTTTCCTTCATCTTTTGCAGCAATGACCACCACCACCCTGGCTCCAAAGGTGTATCTCCAGGATGATCTATCTCCCGATCCATTAAATAGTTTTCCAACTAATAACAAAACAGCTACAGAAGAACCTAGACAGCTCTCAAAGTCAATAGGTCCAGAAAACATTTATTTCTCCCCTGTCCAAACTCTTTCTCCTATCTTCTTTTCTTAATAAATTTCTTTATTATAAACCCAAATACCACAAACAAAAAACATAGAATGTCCCTTATCCATTCACATAACCTGTCTTCTTCCCTTCCCCATTGTCCTAACCTCCTCCGAGTCCATTCTGTTGAAGTATGGACTCCTTGCCTCCAGTCCGCCCTGTTTCTGGTCTAGATTCATCTTCCTTTTCTCTTTAAAACACAACCCTCCTTCTAAGTCTTTGACAGCTCTCCATTGCTTATCACTAGACTCCACAATGTGTTCCGTGGCACCTTCACAACCAGGCCACATCTGCCTTCCCCTTTGCACGTCTGTCATTCCAGCCATACCAGTGCATGCATTGTTCACTAATGTGTCCTTCAGTCGGGCCTCAGGCAGAAAACTGAAACCATTTCTAGGTATTTCAACAGAGAGAAATTATTAAAGCAAATGGCTTAAAAAGTATTTGAAATTTTAAAAGGAGAAGAGGATACTGAAGTAATTCCTGTCTTCAGTAATTCATGGGAACTTTCACCATACATTTTTTTTAAATGGAAAATGTTATAATTTATAAAAAGTTAGCAGGAAGCATCTATCATTCTGGGGCTGAGGGATTACAGGAAAGAGGATGGGAGTCATCAGAAAGTAAAAGTTTGGATGAAAGGGACCCCCACAGACCTGAAACCTGCACCTCTAAGGAGGAGTAATGGCTGGCTACTGCAGGTGCCTCTGAAATGCTGAGTAGAGCCTCCTCAGAGCTGAGGCTTAAGCCTCCAGGGAAGGGATGCTGACAGGCTGGTATAGGAATGTCTAACGGTGAGATGAAGCTGGTTATGAATAAAGCTTAACGCTGGAATCACATGTTGCTGTTGGTGTGAAGGGCCATTGCTTGGCAATACTGTTAGAAGCACCGTCAGACAGGATCAAGGAAACAAGAGTTTCCATGCCTCCTACCTTCTCTACTCCCTATAGTGCTCCCTATTGGTGGGATCCAGCAGACTACTTGCAGAGTTCTGGCCTCAACATCAGAAGGGTGGATTTAGAGTTGAGACAATTGCTTAATAACCAATACAATACACTTTCACATCTCCTTGCCTTTACTCATGCAGTTTCCCTATTTATAATGGTCTTCCTACCCATATCTGTCTGATAAGTGCCTTTGTTCAAACACAATCTCTTTTTTATAATCTCCCCTAATCTTCCCAAAAGTAATTATTTACACCATCATTTGAGTTTCCCTAGTAATTTGTAAATACTTTTTTTGTAGATTTTTTTATATTGTCTCAGAATGTGTGTTTGTTTATTTTCCATTTATTTTCCACCAAACCGTGTACTCCTTTAGGGCAATTACAACCATGACATCTAGCTAGGTGCCTGGCATGAAACAGATACTGGATAAGCTGGATGAAATTGATAAGGTCATTTTAATGAAATTAATATTAGATCATTTCTTTTAGATATTTTATCATCCCAGCCAGATTTGAACTCCATTAAGGGCAGAAATCATGCTTTATATTTCTTTTATTTTCTTTGTGGGGTTTAGTACAAGGTTGAGCACACTGAAGAAGGGTTCAGTGATATTTGTTAACCCCCTAGTTTGTTCATTAACTACCACAATTTTGGTTCAAAATGGCATGAAGATGAAGCATGAGTTATGAATATCAGGTAAGATCCATAATTAGGTTTAGATGTGCTTTTAGCACATGATTGCAACAGTTAGAGAGCACTGGATATATGGCAAAGTTCTGTATTTGTTGGAGGACCAGCACAATGAAGAGACCAAACGCAGTATGTTTTATAGTGAATTCTAAATAATGAAATATATTGTATGTTTCATTTTTCACTATTTATCTCCTACAGAAAATACATCCTGCCAATCCATGAGATTACTAATCCTGGGCTATATCTGTTCCTAGTGTATTTATTACATTTCTCACAATTATCAAAATCAACTAGCAATTATTTAAATGTAGGAAAGATATCAAATTTTAACTTAATCACCAGCTTCTTGAAAAAAAGAAATCTCTGCTCAACAGCTGATTTATATTCACGTCCAAGAAGAAGAAAAATAGCTTTTTTTTTTTCCTAAAGGGGAGTGATATGTAATTAACTATTGATTTCTTCTCAATTATTCAGGCAAGCAGTTATCGATATTGATGGAACAGATATTTCCCTACCTCTAGTACCCAAATGAAAGGAAATATCCCATTCAGCAATCTGCTGCCTGAAACAAGAAATGCTGAGGATCTTTAACTTTAGATGAAAACAGTTATTTGGATCTGTTTGTTCCACGTGGCCCCACTTAAACATACTTCTTCAAGTGTAAGCAAAATTAAAAATCCTGAAAACCTACGTACGCTTTTAAAGCCAGAAAACAAGGGCTTTGTCAGTTTTGACCATGAGGCTAACCACTCCACACTTGTGGACTTTGCTTCACAACTACAGATCTTGACATTTTTAGCCATGACTCATAAAGTACTATAATTTGTTTCTAATATTATGATTTCTAAGCCACTCAATAAGAGGTAGCTTATATAATCATTGGAAATCAGGGAACACTGCCTTGCCTGTCAATATTTGAAGCCTGAAGGATTTAGTAGGCCTTAAGAGTCACTTCTGACATTTACAGATGGCAAGCGTGGATACATTTGAAAATTATGCCAATACACTATGCAACTGTGTTAGAGGTCAGCAAGGAAATGTTGAGGAAGGCCATAAAACAGTGCCCTATTTAGGGCACTCTGTTATTAAACATGTGGGTATCCAACACCATCTTTCACACACAAAGCACTGGCATATTTCTGTATAAGAAACTTCTTTTGAAATTGACATGACTGTTGAACATAATTAATGGGCAAGGCAACATTCTCTATTGTGTTACTACTTTGAGGGTAGAGTTATTTTCTTTTAATACTTTGTTCTTAATAGTAATAAGAGGTATGTCTATATGAGCGTGTAGTGTGTTGAACTCATGTGGCAACCCTGAGGAAATCTCACCATACATTTTTTAAAAGGAAAATGTTATAATTTATAAAAAGCTACTGTTTCTGCTCTGTCCCCCACCTCCCGTTCCAGAGGGGTTCTATATGTTAAGTGCTTAAGCAGCATATGTTTCTTGGGAAATGTTCTTGACTGTTTTACTCTTTGTTGTTGTTTTAGTTTCCCTGGGTTCTATTTAACATTCTGCTAAATCAGTGAAACAGTGATTATCTAAATGAATAGGAGACATGGAATTAATGAGGTTAGTCAGAATTTTGAAGAAATAAGAAATTATTAGAGGTGAAAGTTATATGACAGGGTCTGTGAATGAATTCTAGTTTCTGAAACTGTCTTGATTTATTCAAACTGACTGTATTGATAGACATAATGAAATTTTGGAAATCGGGATTTCACCATTGCATTTATTACTATTCCCAGAAATCGTGGTAACCTTGGGCTCTACTTGCCATATTTACAAGATGATAAAAGTCCTTAATAGGCTGTCAGGGACAAATGTGACTGCTTTTCCTCACACTCCTCCCATGAAACAAGCTTTCTCTCTTCCCATCTGGCTGCTGCCTGCCTGGAGCATGCTACTTTCCCCGTGTCCCCAGCCCCTAACCCCCATCCCCATGCCTCCCAGTGGGCTCTGTCTTCATGCATGCGGCGCTGGAATCACTCACCGAGAGAATGGCCCACCCCTTAGAGGTTTTGGTTATTTTAGCAATACCGCTTTGCATTTTAAATACCATTCATCTGGCTTCAAAGATCTGCACTCTTGCATCGGGCGCTTGTTTAAAAACCCAAGAGGTCACAACAGGTCCCAGTTCCATGAAGAAAAGATACTGGCAAACCAGAACTATTGCATTACTTTGTATTCGATAGCCTGAAATGGACAACGAGATAACATCCAAGATTGCAGCAAAAATCTATATGAAAAGGACTAATATGATAAAAAACAAAGGCAGAAAACTACATTTGTTTGGAAATTGGAGTCACAGGCTTCGTTTGTAGAGGGGAGGTGGGGGAGCACGAGATCGATAGCGAATTTTTTTTTTTAGGCTGAAAACATGATGTGCCAGATGAACTTAAATTGATTCTGCTTCTCCTCCCCGCGCCCCCCCACCCCTACCCTCCCCCTCATTCTGCAGCGAATGTCTGCGACAACGAGCTCCTGCACTGCCAGAACGGAGGGACGTGCCACAACAACGTGCGCTGCCTGTGCCCGGCCGCATACACGGGCATCCTCTGCGAGAAGCTGCGCTGCGAGGAGGCTGGCAGCTGCGGCTCCGGCTCCGGCCAGGGCGCATCCCCGCACGGCTCCCGCGCGCTGCTGCTGCTGACCACGCTGCTGGGGACGGCCAGCCCCCTGGTGTTCTAGGTGGCGCCACCGGCCACACCGGACGGGCCTGTGCCGTGGGGAAGCAGACACAACCCAAACATTTGCTACTAACATAGGAAACACACACATACAGACACCCCCACTCAGACAGTGTACAAGCTAAGAAGGCCTAACTGAACTAAGCCATATTTATCACCCCTGGACAGCACATCCGAGTCAAGACTGTTAATTTCTGACTCCAGAGGAGTTGGCAGCTGTTGATATTATCACTGCAAATCACATTGCCAGCTGCAGAGCATATTGTGGATTGGAAAGGCTGCGACAGCCCCACAAACAGGAAAGACAAAAACAAAAAACAAATCAACCGACCTAAAAACATTGGCTACTCTAGCGTGGTGCGCCCTAGTACGACTCCGCCCAGTGTGTGGACCAACCAAATAGCATTCTTTGCTGTCAGGTGCATTGCGGGCATAAGGAAATCAGTTACAAGCTGCCATATTGGCCTGCTTCCGTCCCTGAATCCCTTCCAACCTGTGCTTTAGTGAACGTTGCTCTGTAACCCTTGTTGGTTGAAAGATTTCTTTGTCCGATGTTAGTGATGCACATGTGTAACAGCCCCCTCCGAAAGCGCAAGCCAGTCATACCCCTGTATATCTTAGCAGCACTGAATCCAGTGCGAGCACACACCCACTATACAAGAGTGGCTATAGGAAAAAAGAAAGTGTATCTATCCTTTTGTATTGAAATGAAGTTATTTTTCTTGAAATACTGTAATATGTAGATTTTTTGTATTATTGCCAATTTGTGTTACCAGACAATCTGTTAATGTATCTAATTCGAATCAGCAGAGACTGACATTTTATTTTGTCCTCTTTCGTTCTGTTTTGTTTCATTGTGCAGAGATTTCTCTGTAAGGGCAACGAACGTGCTGGCATCAAAGAATATCAGTTTACATATATAACAAGTGTAATAAGATTCCACCAAAGGACATTCTAAATGTTTTCTTGTTGCTTTAACACTGGAAGATTTAAAGAATAAAAATTCCTGCATAAACGATTTCAGGAATTTGTATTGCAATTTCTTAAGATGAAAGGAGCAGCCACCAAGCATTTCACACTCACTTTACTGATTTCTGTGTGGACTGAATACATTCAGCTGACGAATTTATTATCCAGGAAGATGGATTGATGTTCACTAGCTTGGACAACTTCTGCAAAATATGGGACTATTTCCACTTGGGAAAAATTACAACAGAAAAAAAAAAAAAAAAAAAATCCAAGTGATTGCCAAGATTATGCCAAAGCCTGTTGGCAGAGTACTAAGAGACTTTTATTTTTAAGTCATGCTATTTTCACAGATTGATGGTGATCATGTAACTCTAGGGATGCTGATCTATGTATCTTTCCAAATACAGTGTTTACATGGAGTATCATAAGAGGCAACCTGGGGAACCAGGAAAGGAGCAGGGAAATTGAGTGATTTTGCAATTTGGATTTGAATATATTTAGAGTTAAGTATTTAGAGGAAATATCAAAATATAAAGCAGCAAGTAGACATAACTGCTGTTCCTGAGAATAAAGTTTGTTTTAAGTACTGCCCAAGGTGTAATAAATTCTTGTTTCTGCCTTTTATTAGGCCGATTACTGTGCAAGACAGCAAGGGGAGGCAGGTGGGGAAGAACCTTCGCAAAGTTTCAAGGAGGCTAAAACAGTGTGCATGTCATTCCCAGCACATTGTTGTCCTACGGATTACAAATGTGTTAGCAGCAGCATCTCCTGGAATCAAAAACAATTATCAGCCCAAACCAGAGTGCTAAGGACAATGAAATTCTACATGACTTGCTAGAACAATAACCTATTATAGCCTAGTTCCAGTCTGAATTCTTCACCCTGCTGCCACTCCTTGCTGAAACAGGGAAGTGGGGAGGAATGCCTCCTGATAAATAACCTGGGTAAAAACTAGATGAAGGAACAGCATGTCTTATTGGTTTTGTTCCCAGAAAAGCCAATTCAAAGAAGGCAATAAAAGGTAAACAGGTAATGCCCGTGCTGCCTGCCACCCCACGTCTAAGTCTATTGAATATTTGTTATTCAAACCAACGGTCTCTTTTGATGTAAGAAATAAGCAAAGATGGAAATAAATTAGAGCTTAGGCTTAGTGCCAGAGTGGCCAACCAGAAATTGGAGATTTACATTGGAAGCATAAATGGAAAATTACATTTCAAGCTCACCAAAGAAACACATGAAAATGCTGATAACATAGGGAGTTTGAGATTATTTATAATGAGGTGGATTTCTAACATTAAAATTGGAGTTAAGTTGTCTTATAGTTTATTAGCACAAACCAAAGGCAGCCCGTGTTATTTCTGGCAACGATGCACTTTATCGTTATCTGCTCATGGCTTTGTCACAATGCTCAGGAATCAGACACTGCGCACTTCAATAGTTGGGATTCCAGAAGCTAATTCTAAAATTTAATGAAGGCCTGATTTAAACTGATTCATCTGCATTTTATCTTTATGAGGCTATAAGAATCTAAATTGATGAGGAATATCTTTCATTCGGTGTATTTAGATATAGTTTTCTGAATTTCCTGAAGCGATGTGATCTACTTTAAATAAAAATTCACTTTTAGGTATACAACAAATGGAAATGAAATGTTCTTTTTAAATCTGGATTCTCAAGTTCTCCTAAAGGAGCTACTCCTTTGAAGAAACCTCAACTCAGTGGACTTGATTCATCTGTTGCTTTCCAGCATTCTTACAAAGCTGGATTCATCTACAATGTTATGCCCTAAGAACAGGATTGGGGTGAAAAGCGAGTACTCGGTTGTTCATACATTTGGGGTCCTAAATCTTGTTCTTTTTTTCTCTTTGATACGTCCCTTAAAGTGGGTTAATATAGTCTTGCATATGAGTTAATCTGTCAGCTTTCTCACATAGAAACGATAGAATTCCTTCCATCAATGCAATTAATGAGCATAACATTTCAAAACATGGAACAAAGATTCAGCTATCTAGAAAGAATTGCTATTTATAGAAAGATAATGGACGTGCCCTGCTGTGATGTGATAGTTATTTATTTCTGACCCTGTACACAGCCTAGAGGAAGAATTTAGTCCAGCCAAGATGGGCCCTTACTTAGAGAGACCGATTCTGACTCTCCTCCAGTTTTCTCCTCGATACCAGGAACTTTAAGAGTTTCCTACTCAGATATCCCCCCCACACTTTTAGGCCAAATGTGGGCCTCCTCTGGGGGCTTAAAATCCTGAAGGCAGGCAGCATCCTGAGTGTATATACCTGGCCACTAGGAGTGGCAAAGGGTGCGTCTGTGTGGGTGGTTTAGGGGCTTAGAGTGTTCGCTGTGGAATTTATATACAAGCAAGGAGAAGCCCTTTGTGGTGAAAACAAGAGCTCAGGGCTGGAAAATAAGGGGACGAGGGGAGGGAAGGAGATTGGCAAGGGCTACCATGAGGCTGGGGGCCGGTACGGAACACTGAACAGTCTAAGAATTCTAAATCTATACCTGAGCTTCCAAGGGTTATGAAAGCATCATGTGTCAAAGAGGCAGGGTGGAAGATAATTTAACAGTTTATTAGCTTTATGTATGACTTTTAAATACTTAGACATGTGGCACGGGATCCTCCATTGGTACTTTTGCACAGGGCCCTGCAAACATTTGGGGTTGATCCACCTGAGGTGCCCTTGAGTCAGATCCCTATGTTGGCACAAACTGCTCACCAGGTAACACAAAGGAAGGTCCAGGCTGGAAGAAAGCATCTGCTCCACGGTTCAACTGACCCTGTAGTTAATGCTCCCCTCACTTTCTCTTGGACCTGTGGCCTGACAGGTACAAGAAATTTGGGATCCATCGGGGGGCAAAGTGTGAGGAAATCTTGACATTGAATCTTTTGTTCCATCTCCTTCATCCTCTACCATCAATAACCCAGTATGATTGGGATGTAAAGACCCAGCAATCTGAAATGGGATGCTCTGTACTATATGGGAAATGGGTTGTTGTACTTTACTGGTTGTTAAACATGAAATAAAATACCTATTTAACAGCTTCTCTGCTCACAGGATTGACCAGGATATGTGGGAACTACATTTGCTATGTATTTGTTCTGTGAAAAACTCTAGATATTTTTGATCTGGTACAACTTGAAGCTCAGCTTCCCAAATCTGAACCAGAATTCCTTACCTACCTTTCCTACTCCCGGCCTTCACTGAGAAGGATGGCAAGGTGGCAGTGGCTAAGCTGCATTGGAGAACAATATGAGCCACCAGGTAAAGCTCCAGGTTTTTGTGTTTTGTTTTTTTAAAGAAAACCCAATTAGAAAATTTTAACAATAGAGGAATGAAAATACAGATAAGGGATACTCTCAGGGTTTTTATTTAACTATCTGGACATGTACAATTCTTTATCTGCCTCATGAGCTATAAGGATTAGATTCTAATTAATTTTATTTCTAAGAAACATCAAATGTTCATCTGTCATAAATATTCTGTCAGTTCTGACCATTTCCATATGGAATGATTTTATACTTTTTGTTTTTACTTTCTTACACTAAAAGTAGCTTTCTCCTCTAGTTACCTAAGACAGATGCCAACAAATTCCCAGAATAAACTGCACATAAACATAATATGATGTCAGAAAGAATTAAGAATGCCAACTATCATGTTTTGAATTTTCACCAGTAATCTTGGGAACATAGTGAACTTTTACTCTTCTCAACACCTGGTGAGGTGTGACTCACATATTACCATCTTCATTTTGCATCTGAAAAATCAGATAACTAAGAAACAGACATATCGCTTGTAGAAATCATATTATGGCATTGAACTAGAAATAAGAAAATAACATCTGTGAAAAACTCATAATTATATTGAACAAAGTGTAGTCACTTGAGATCTGCTATGACAGAAAAGTTCTGTCCCTAATCCATTTTTAGAATAGGTCCGGGAACAAGTCTAGCAAAAAGGGCTGAATGATGTTAAGGGGCGTTGTTTACAGTAACATAACTGAGCATTTATTAAGTGCTGGAATCCCCCTCTGCCTTCTCTCATCACCTGAAAGCCGTTGTTCATTGAAGGAGGAATTAGAATGGAGTAGTAACATTTAAAATTATGTGATGTTTTTATTAAGCTAAAATGATAGCTGGTGAAATGGGCCATTATTCTGCAAAATCTAATTATGTTAACACTAACGATGTAGCTTGCCTGGCTGAAGCAAACTGCAGAGGATTGGAAGTAAAAAATAATCCTCATTTGCTTAACTTAGTCCCACTTTTTTCACAGGCATTTCTTTTAACTATTATTAAATTAGTGAACTAGGAATTCTATGGGGAAAAATGACTAAAAAGAGAAAAAATAATTACTACCCCTCCTACATCTGCCTGAAGAGATTCCGAAATTCCTGCATGGCAAGACTGCCAAGTTCCGCTGAAGATATAATGTACCACAGCTGTATCCTCCAGCCGCCCTGATAGTACCACATTACAGCTTTGCTCTTACAAGGGGCAGTCATTCTAATCTAATAAAAGACAGAAAATGGCAGAAAATCGCAGCACCTGAAGTCCTGTTAAGACTAGGTGATTCTTTTTGCCCCAGGCAGGCAAGAACATAATGTCATTTTTGTTCGTTTGTATTTGCACTCTGAAGGAGGGCTGCTCCTGTTGGGGAATGGTTTTCCCTCTGCCAGTGTGAAACACTGCAGGAAAACATTCTCCAAGGAAATCGTATTTTGCTATTTACCAGTCATGACTACCCCATGAAGCCCTGAGTAATTGTTTTGGCTTTCATGGTGTGATAAACACCTCAAGGCAAAGAGATTAGTGTCATTACTCTCCGTCTCTTTTTCTCTTCTGTTGGAAAAAAAAAATAGTGGGGGGTGTCCAAATATAGTATGACAACGTTTTCAACAATCCTTCCGTCAGTTGATGCTTAATTATGAAGACTCCTAATAAATATTCCTTTTATAAAATTAATAGCTTGACAAGCATTGGAGAGCTTTACAACCACTTAAACTCGTGTTTACATCCTGTGTAATTACAATTCATAATTGGGAAAGCAGTCAAATCTAAATGCATTCTGATCAACGGTTCTCAGGCTGCCAAGTAGACCCCACACAGCACATTATAGCAAGTAACTTAAAAACAGGACTTCTACACCTAGAATTCAAACCAGGTTAGGGGAGAGCAATGTGGGGAGTCTATCAGTGAAGTGTTTAAAATTCTATATAAAATTTCCAATATAGATAACTTTTTCTGGATAAAGAAATTATTATCGTTTAATTTGTAAAAGGCCTAAGAGTAAAGGATGACTGCTCTGAATCCTAAGATTACAATTTACCCCAACTGCGGAAGGTCTCATTAAATAATAGTTTTCAGGAGATGAATGATAATGACTCAGGTATATGAACGCACATGTTTTCCTACAATCAGTTATTTATTTATTTCATACTAACCTTATCTCTACCTGAGCTGCTAAGGGCATCTATATTCCCTTTTGTGTGTGTGAATGTCTCTATAGATCACTCTCTGAAAAAGTCTGAAACAATGTGAGCTCTGATTCTGTTCTTAGCGTGGTGAGAAGCAACCCACTCTGATTTTTCTTTATTGCAGACATTTTGCTAGAAAGGGCTTCAACCATTTTTTTCCCATACTTGTCATAAAATTTATAAGAAAGAAAATAATATATGTGTGACCCTGGAACACACTTGAATTGAATGGCACAAAGTCATTTCCTTTTTTACTGGTTTGTTTCATTTGTATGGCTGTTCTAGCTTACAAGCCTTAGATCAGGAGCAAAGGTCTTTCTGCTTGTCTTTATGGCTCCCTGAGTTGTGGGCCTACTCTGATTGTGTGAGGACTTACATCCCTACTCAGTCCTCTAGACCTGCACCAGCCACTAGCCACTAGCCATCTCTGGCCACTGGGCATACCAGTGTTGTCAGTCCAAAGTCTTGTGAATTTAAAAGACAAACCATACTTCAAAGTCTTTGTACAAAAACAAAAAATGTGAATTATCTCTTTCATAATTTTTATATTGGTTACACATTAGAATAATAATATTTTAGATATACTGGATAAAATAAATTATTAGAATTTATTTTAACTGTGTTTTTTTCCCTTTTCTAATGTGGCTACTAGAGGTTTTTTAATTACATATTTGGCTCAAATTATATTTCTTTTGGATAGCACTGCTCTAGATGTCTAATTTTCCCATCTATAAAATGGGGATAATAGGATTCCATTGGTAGAAGCATTCATTTCCCAGGGTTAGTATGAAAATCAAGAAGAGTTGCTGAACATGAGATTCCTTGGTAGATTACAGATTTCCATGGTAGTGATAACCATGATAATATTTTCAAGCTCCTGTTCCACATTTGCAGATTTTTCTGGAAGTTTCCAACCAGAGGTCTTGGCAAAACTTCCTCTGAAAGTGCTCCAATGCAATAAATGCAACGCTTTCAAAGTTTTGAATGTGACACATGACCTGAACATGGAGCTTACATCAGAAACAATGACAACAGGAGAATACTAATGATAAAAAGATAAGTAATCAACAACTTTTATCAAAAGCCTTGAGCCAGGTACAACGTTAAGTATTTCTTTTTACCATCTTTATCCTAAATAA